CTGTACGACCCAGTACATAGAGGAAGATCTGTGGTTTTTGGACGTTTGCACATAGGCACGTTGCGAGTAGTGTTAGGTCGGGCATGTCCTCCTACAGGCGGGTTTAGGAAGAAGATGACAAATAACCAGAATTTTCAAACATAGTCAGACATAGTCGAAAAATCGGCCCCAGAAACTTTGTGTCAACTTGTTGAATGATCCCTCCTTTAGAAGGACCTGTCCGACTTAAGACTGGTGGAATAAATTAAAACAGACGCTGTACACAGTCGGAAACGAGTGTCGTTCGTGACAGCGTCGGCCTGCCCTGTGTGGTTGGTTGTGGCAGGTCCTGATGAGGATAGCTAACCACGCGCCGAAACGCTGGAGACGGACAGGACCCAGGGTGCCCGAGAAGGTGGGCACACTCAGTCCTAGACCAACGGGTGCGCGACAAGGGCTTCAACACGGGCTCACACTGTGTCTCGTATCTTGCAGTGACGTGGGTATGTTTGGCAAACTACTGAAAGCGCTCGGTGAGACTTCCACGGCGCTGACCAGCCCACGGTGCCCGCGAGCTCGCTCGTGCCACCGCCGGCGGCGGCGCTGAGCGCAGCCTGCCGCCCTGGTCGCGGCGCTCCCCCCCCCGCAGACCCCCTGCGCGCAGCCCTCGCGACCTCCCCCGACCTCCAGAGACTCGAACATGTAGAGGTGAACGTTTTCTTATTCGGCGTTTCGGCATCGGGCGGAAGGGGGGGGGGTCTGGCTCCAGACCTATGCTTAGTGCGACTGCTTGCGACAGTGCGTCCTGTGGAGGAGACTCCATCTGCCTGAAACAAGGAATAAGAAACGATTACGAGTCTGCGCATTTTTCCCCAAACAGCTTGCTGAACGGGGTGCCGTTGTGATAGAAGCTAACTCCGGCCGAGGGAAGCCGAAGCAGAGACATCCTCACAAAGACTTGATGGTCCGGGCCGTTTCGCTTGAGACATCCTCACAACTCTCGTTTCTGAGTTGGCCGGGATTGGCCGTTTCGCCTGAGACATCCTCGAAAAGTTGCGCTCCGGGACGCCGCGCGAGAGGTGGTCTGGGCCGTTTCGCTTGAGACATCCTCAAAACTCTGAGCCCCGAGGTGCCGTGCGAGAGGTGGTCCGGGCCGTTTCGCCTGAGACATCCTCGAAACTCTGAGCTCTGAGATGCCTTGCGCGAGGTGGTCCGGCCCGTTTCGCCTGAGACATCCTCGAAACTCTGACCTCGGAGATGCCGCGCGAGAGGTGGTCCGGCCCGTTTCGCCTGAGACATCCTCGAACTTCTGAGCTCTGAGATGCCCTGCGCGAGGTGGTCCGGCCCGTCTCGCCTGAGACATCCTCGCAACTCTGAGCTCTGAGATGCCGTGCGCAAGGTGGTCCGGCCTGTTTCGCACAAGACATTCTCGCAACTCTGAGCTCCCAGATGCCGCGCAAGAGGTGGTCCAGCCTGGGGGCCCAGAAGACCACATGTTACATATCCTCCCTGGGACCCTGGGAGCCCCAGGAGGCCCCAGAGAGCTCCAGGAGGCCGCAGGACGCCCAGGACAGGCCCCAGGGGTCCGCAGGAGATTCCCAGGAGGCTCCCAGGAAAGCCCCCTATCAGAACGTGTCAAGTTAATACACAACCGGTGTCGATTCGTTGAGTTTTCCTGCTCTTGTGGCCCCCCTTCCATTTTGAGGGGCCCAATCGGCCACAGGTTAGATATCCCCCCTGGGAGCCCCACGAGGCTTCAGGAAACCCCAGGTGGAGTTCAGTAGGCCACAGGAGGCCCAGGAGGAAGCCCCAGGAGGTCCCAGGAGGTCCCACCAGGAGGCCCCCGCAACTCGGAGCTCTGAGACGCCGCGCTCGAGGTGGTCCGGCCCGTTTCGCCTGAGACTTCCTCGCAGCACGTTTCGCCCGAGACACCGGCCCGTCTCGCCTGGACATCCTTGCAACTCTGAGCTCTGAGATGCCGTGCGCAAGGTGGTCCGGCCCGTTTCGCACAAGACATTCTCGCAACTCTGAGCTCTCAGATGCCGCGCAAGAGGTGGTCCAGCCTGGGGGCCCAGAAGACCACATGTTACATATCCCCCCTGGGACCCTGGGAGCCCCAGGAGGCCCCAGAGAGCTCCAGGAGGCCGCAGGACGCCCAGGACATGCCCCAGGGGTCCGCAAGAAATTCCCAGGAGGATCCCAGGAGGCCCCAAGAGGCCCCCTATCAGAACGTGTCAAGTTAATACACATCCGGTGTCGATTCGTTGATTTTTCCTGCTCTTGTGCCCCCCCTTCCATTTTGAGGGGCCCAATCGGCCACAGGTTAGATATCCCCCCTGGGAGCCCCAAGAGGCTTCAGGAAACCCCAGGTGGAGTTCAGTAGGCCACAGGAGGCCCAGGAGGAAGCCCCAGGAGGTCCCCAGGAGGCCCCAGGAGGCACCAGGAGGCCCCCGCAACTCGGAGCTCTGAGACGCCGCGCTCGAGGTGGTCCGGCCCGTTTCGCCTGAGACTTCCTCGCAGCACATTTCGCCCGAGATACCGGCCCGTCTCGCCTGGGACATCCTTGCAACTCTGAGCTCTGAGATGCCGTGCGCAAGGTGGTCTGGCCCGTTTCGCACAATACATTCTCGAAACTCTGAGCTTACGCGGGAGGCAAAAACAAAAGAACGAACGCTGAGAGAAACGGCGTCGACTACCGCATCCTCTTTCGACGAGGACGACGAGGAAAAGAGGATTGTTGCCGACACAAAGTTTGCCGCAAGCTTGCGCCTGCCCCGCGAGAGGGGCCAGACATGGGCGTCTAACCAACGAGCGCGCTGAACCATGGCAAGCAAACGCCCCAACCAACCAACCGATGAAAACACGCGGCCGAAAATCCCGTTCCCGCTGCAGTCCCAGCGGCCGTGCCTGAATGGACTGGCGGGGTTCGCGAAGTGGAAACAAGTGAATTGGCTGCTATGGGGCATTGCAACGTGAGAGGAAGGGCGCAGGGACCGCTGGCAGGAAGGATTGCGCGACTGCGCGGGGGGGGGGAGCGATGCCATGCCGACAGCACGCAACGACGGCGGCTCACAACGTCAAAATTACCCCTACACGCATAAATACTACCAATGACAATCACGCACGCTAGAGCCCTGAAGCAACGCCACCTGACGCGCACGCGCAAACGCGCGCGCACACCTCAAACAATGCACAACGTTTGACAACAATGGCACGGCAGACATCAAAAAAGCAAGCAACTGATACCTGGCCGACAGCTTGGCTACAATCTCCATGACGCGGTCCTGCGTCGCCAGGTTGCACGCGTGAATGAAGAACTCTTTGAACGGCACCACGTGCAGTCCCAGGAGCTTGGCCAGTGCGGCCTTGTGCATCGACCTCTTGCGCTTGGGGCATTGATCCGAATGATAAATTGCGGCGATGCCGCTGATGTCCACCACGCCGCCCCTGACGACGAGCAAGGCGAGATTCTTGCCACCGCAGAGCGCTTCTTCCGTTGAAGGCATACGTTTCACGCCCAGTTCGAGGCGAGGGAGCCCAGGCGCTTGCGCGAAATTGCTCGGGGGTGACGGCGGCTCAGGCGTAGCCCTCCAGAGAGCGCGATACCTCTGGGATTCGGAGGACAGAAGACTCTGGGGGTCACCAAGGATCTTGCCCCTAACGGGCTGAACAGCACAAGGCTGCCAGGAGGCTGGCGCATTGGTGGCACGGTGAACATTGCCACCTCCGTTCCGGAGGCCAGGGGTGGAACAACGAGGTGTGCCAAAGGTCCAAGGCCTGGTCAAGAGAGGTATCTGCCTTTCCCTAGATGCTTGATGATAACCAGAGGGGCGGCAAAGCCATAAGCGATGGTTTGCGAAAGACCCTACAAGTGCGGATGCTGCGCACTGGCCTCGAGCAACAGAACAGCCTTCCACAACCACGTGACAGAGACGAGCTCTTGCTGACGAAGGGGTTCACATCACGCAGGTAGACCGGTTGCCAGACAATCTCGGGCAGGGCACCTCGAGCACCGGGGCGAGAAAGCTCAACCCCCGCACATTCCGCAACCTCGCCTTCCGCAAGCTTCGCCCAAAGCCGACAGGAGTGAGTCAGAAGATCCCGAATGGCAGCCCCATTGCCAGCACGAGCTGCTGCTTGAGCCTCGCGGATAGGGCCCCTAAACTGCCGAATTGGTCGGGCGGAGAGCGACGCGGCCCGATCGGCACAGCCGACGGAAGACGCTGCGCACGTCTGGGGTGTCTTTATCCTCTCGCTTGGGCGGTTCAGCATGCAAAAAAAAAGTTAGGGCGTGTGTTTCATCTACATTATGATTTCTTTATTGTGGTTTTGGACAGGAGGTGAAGGAAACTAATATATGTTAGGTTCGCTGGGGGGGGGGGCGATGAGAAGCGAGCGGAAATTGAGAAGGGAGGAGGAGGACGGAGGGGGGAGGTGGAGGATATTGGTTGCACCCAGCGGCTAAGTTCACGTGACCCCGAGGGCTCTGGTCGTGAACGCGCACCGAAAACAAAAGCCCTCGGCACCGAACAGTATGGATTTCGAAGCCTCGGGGCCCTAACTTTGACGTCGAACAGCCTTGTGATTTTCTTGCGAACGCTCCAAATCGGCTCTCTCTCGGCACGTGTCGGGCTGGAGGGCGGTGCATTTGGTTGCACCACCCCGCGGCAATGCACTCGTGCATTGCCTCGCTCAAGTCGAGGGCGCACCAAGGCCTACAACCCACATGCCTGGTGCCCGAGTGCCCTGGACGAGCGAAAGATACATTCTTAAAGAGAACCAATCAACGAAACAAAATGCCAAAACGAAGTGATGGTATACAGTGCGCTCTGTGCGCTGGCGATTGCTATGGCGAAACTTCACATCGTTGAGCTATTCCTGCGTCTGGATTCCCCCTATCCTCCTCCCACGTTCCCCTGTTCTCCTCTCTCTCATCCTTCTCCTTCCCCCCTCCCTCAAAGCAGCGTCAAAGCTCAAGACATGCCAAAAATCCGCGCCGACGCAGTCCTGCCCGAGACAACCTCGCCTGGGGAGTTGGCCTCCGTCCACTCGAAGGCTTTGCGACGAAGAGTCTCGCCTGCTTTGAGGGGGCGGTTGGATTTCAAGAAAGGCCTCTCGAAAGTGAAAACCTTGGCAGTCGAGTCGACCTCGACATCAAATTGCACGGTCTCGAATTCGACAGAGTGCGTGTGAGAAAGCTTCTTGCGATTGCCAGCCTTCTTCGGCTGTGGTTTTGCTGGGGGTGCTGCCTGCTGCGCCTGCTGCGCCTTGGCAGCGGAGGCGCCCTTGCGCTTCTTGCTGGGCGGCTGGGCACCGCTGCTGCTGCCAGCTGCGCATGCACCAGCCTCAGGGTTGGCCGCGCTGTCCACCAAGGGGGCAGCATCGGCGTTGGTCTCACCGTCCACGTCGTCCTTGATCATCGGGAGCATCCATGCGATGCATGCGTCTGAAACCAAAGGGTTGAGGAGCTTCGAGCCATCCAGGAACAAACTCAAACCATTGCTTGTCCCCAGTGGAAGCAGAGTGCCACGCGGAAGGCTCCTCGCAGCGATCGCATCTACCACCCTGCCCCAACAAACGAACTCGGGAGCCTCCGTGGTCGTTGCGTCTGCCGCCAGACGAGCTGTCAAGGTCCCCACGCTCTTCTTCCTGGAAAAGTCAATCAGCACGTCGCGGAGAAAGCGGCCTTGCAGTCCGTCAGCGGGTGGCATGAAATGGCCCTGCACAGAGGCGATCACCCGCGCCTTCGTCGCGCTGGTCATGGCAAGGTGGTCGGGCCCGTTGGACTTCAGCTCCTCTCGAATTTGGGAGGAAAGGCGGGGAGAAGAAGTGAGGGCGAGAAGGAAGCTGGTGTCATTAATATTGTATGTTAGTTTCGAGCGGTCCTCATCGGTGAGCATGCTGATCCACTGCGTGACCCCCAGGCTGGTCAGGTTGAAGTCGCCCTGGGGAATGCCCTTGCCGTCGTCGACGGCGATGGGGACTGGTTCCTTGGCAGTCTTGGTTGGAGTAGTCGTCTGCCCCGCAGTCGGTGCCACGACCGCCGCTGTTGCCGCCGCAGTTGTAGTGGTGGCGCTTGCCTTGGCCAGCTGGTCGCGCAGGATCGTCACCTTGTCGCCAACGTTGCCGACGAGGATCGTGGCTGCCAAGGTCGTGTCGGTGCACTTCTTTTTAACCGCAGTCATGACATCCTCTACCAGCGCAGCTTTCACAGACGAGAAGATTCCCATGGATGGCGGCACCTCGATACTCTGCAAGCCCTGCGACACGACGAACTCCTTCATCTGCGTATGAGTGAAGCCCTGCAGCTTCCCCCTCAGGCCCGCGACGAGCGTGTGATGCGCCTTCGCCTTGGTCGGGCAAACCTTGTTCACCGTCACCACCAGTTCAGCAAACGCCTCCAGATATATGCCACATCTTCCACGTCAGCTGGCCTCCTCCTCAGGAGGGGGCTGGCTAACGTGGTTGTGGTGACATATATATGGCACTGGCAGCCTTGCTGAAACAGTCGCCGAAGACAGCCATGGACACGTCGCCGTCGATGGCCTTGGTGATGATCTTGATATCGATGGGCTCCTGCGCTCCGCACCGCTGGCTCTCGATGGACTCCGCGATCTTCTTGAAGACGTCCTGCACAGACAGCAAGCCAAACATGTATTTCGGAGTGCCGTTGAGGGGGACCTGCATCGTAGATAACGTGCTGCACACTGCGAAGAACGTGTTCAGCCTGACCATGTTCAGCTTCTTGCGGCCGGTGGCCCCGATCACGCCCATCTCTTCGCACGTCTTCCTCAGAAGCTCCGTGTCGGCATAGTCGCTCCTGGTTGAAACAGTTGTCAAAGCAAATTTGAATTCCGACAATTGTCCAAAGTTTATCACTATCTCGTCGAACGCCAACGGCATCTCATCCATGACGGCAGTGACCACGCGCTTCGTGGCCTCTTCGATCAGCTCACGTTGGCAATCTGGAGTTCCAGACTTGCCCTCTGCACCACCGCATGCTCCAATCATAGACGTGTAGACCTTGCTCGTAATCCCGCAGACTGCCATGTGCAACTGGATCGGCTTGTCGATCGGGTTCACCATCAGGTAGGACTTCATGCGGGCCGCCGAACCGTTGTCCTGCAAGGTCTTGAAGGTGTCCAAGAGCGTCTCGTCAGTCTTCTCCTCCAGAGGCGCCTTGCTGGGCGACTCTGCAAGCTGGCTGTCGTCCCCTGCGTCGGCGTAGTAGATCTCAAGGTCGCTGGGCTTCTTTGCCATGCCAGATGCTTTGAATGCAGCGTTGATGATGTGGCGCTTCATCGCGGTGTATCTGCTGATCGTCCTCGCTGGGGTGTTGCCATTCCCTGGAACTTGTATCTCTCCCTGCAGCTGGCAGAAGCACAGGATCGACGAGTATGCGTTCAGGTTGTCCTGGGGGACGTTCAGCTTGTGCTTGAGCATCGCGGTGAACTGGATCACGTCACTCAGGAAAGACACGTCGTTGTCCCCATCCGATGCGCACGCGCACCCCGCAGAGACCTTCGCCTTCATAGTCGCGCTGTCGGCCATGCTCGCCAGTAAGTTCCTCACCATGGCCTCTGACAGCTTTCGCAACTTGCCCTGCGGAATGCCATCTGGCAGCGCTGGGCACGCCCCGAGGGGTTCAGACTCGAGGTGCGGGATCACGAGGGCAACGACAGGAACGACGAAGTCGGGATAAGTAGAGCACAGCACCTTGCAAATGCAACTGATGTTCTGGATGACCGCGTTCGTGTCCTTCATGTACTCATGCATGTAGTCAGCCTTTGTCTCGAAATAAGATACCATCTGATCCCAAATTGAAATGCCTGCTGATGTCATCGTTGTCTGCAAAAGGTTGTAGGTGTTGATCGTCACGTCGAGCGCGTTCTGTGAGCGCCAGCGGCCAGAGAATACAGTGTTGGCATAGGCATGCCTGCGAGCGTAGAGCGTAAGCGCCCCGCCACAACCGTCACCAGTAGCAGTTACCTTTTCCTTCTGGATTGCCCATCCAGAAAGAATCGTCTCGGTAGACATGAACACCTGGAGCACCGTAACCACCAAAGTGCTGGCGTTGGTGGCGTTGCCTAGCTCGATGACGTAGTCTTTCACATCGTCTGGTAAGTTCGGGTCGAACTCCACAGCAGAGTCACAACCGGCCTCGAGAGCGATCCAAACCGTCCTGTTTTTCTTGTGGGGATCTTTCTCCATCGCCATCTTGGCACCTTCAAGCAAGCTCGCCCAGTGTAGAACAGTCCATTGATTCTCGCCTGCTGGAATTACCCATGGCCCCTTACGGACCTTGCATATGCCAATCGTCTCAACTGACTTGCACCTGTCCAAGACTGTCGCCATATTGTACCTATGTTTCTGTTTCTGAAGAAGAAAACGAACGCTTAAGGACGCAGTAATCATTAACCGTGTGCGTGTGTCCTTAAGCGTCCGTTTTCTTCGGGGCACCTCCTGTTGGCAGGGTCCCTGGTCATGGTGAACTTGCCCTCGTGCACGAGGGGCAGCCATCGGGGTTGACGCGCGCAGCCTGAACACTAGATTCTCGAGCTCGGGGCCCGCCACGTAGCCGACGAACCTGTCGTATATCGTCGGAAACCTCGCACGGTCGTTAAGGAACAACGTGGACGGGTCTGCAATCTTGGGCTCGGGCCCCTTGGGCACGAGCGCCATGTCGCCATGGGAGCTGGCCGCTGCCATCGCTGGGAGTAGCCTGGCGGAAGCAAGCGTTCGCAGGACAAAAGAAGGACTGGATATGAGAGAGAACGTGGGCGACGATGGCAGGGGAGGAGAGGAGGAGAAAGAAAAGGAGCAGAGGACTTGGCAAAGGCAGGGGAATGGAGGGGGGAGGGTGGGAGGATAGGATAAGCGGACAGGAAACGGCTGACAGGGAACGTCATGGGAAGGCCACCACAGGCCACTCATCTCAGGGGTTCCAGGGCCAGCGCTCGGAGGACGAGGGCCAAGGTCGAGCAGGGCCGCGAAACTGCCTCCAAGGGTCTCGCCACAAGGGGGGGGGTGAAAAAATAATGGCGCGGAGAGACGGGCAAACATTTGCACTGAGAGCTCACCCCCTGCCGCGAACCACCGGCCTTTGGCTGCCGGCCCCCTGGCCCCTACGGCCTGGCGCGGAGAGACGGGCAAACATTTGCACTGAGAGCTCACCCCCTGCCGCGAACCACCGGCCTTTGGCTGCCGGCCCCCTGGCCCCTACGGCCTCGGCACCGCGGAGGCCCCGAGAGGCGGTGCGGACGAGGGGGGTGGGGCGGGGTGGGGGAGGCGGGGGGGGGGGGCGGGTGGAATTTTTCGGAGCGCCTCCCCCCAATCCTCCCCTCCCCTCCTCCTCCCCCCCCCCTCCCCACCCCCCCACACCCCCCTCCCCCCGCCCCCCTCCCCGCCCCCCCCCCTCCCCGCCGCCCGCCCCCCCCCCCCGCCCCCCCCTCCCGCCCCCCGCGCTCCCCCCCCCCCTGGCGCTTCGAATTTTTCGGCCCGCCCCCCCCGCCCCCCCCCCCTGGCGCTTCGAATTTTTCGGCCCGCCCCCCCCCCCCCCCCCCCCCCCTCTGCCCCCCCCCCCCCCCCCTCCCCCCTCTGGGCCCCCCCTCCCTCCCCCACCCGTCCCCCGTTGTTCTGGCGCTCCGAATCCCCCCCTCCCCCCCCCCCCCCCCCAGGACCCCCATCCCCCCAGGATCGCGAGGTCGTCGAACCCCTCCGAACGGCCGCCCCGCAGCTTTCAGGGAGGGGTCGGCAGCGCTGCGCGGCGCCGCAGGGGGTCGGTCTAGAGCGGGCCCAAGACTCACGAGACCTAAAGCATCAAAGGTAGACATCAGAATAATCCAACGCGAATCGAAGCGGATATTAGAAAAATTCTGAGCGACCCGATGTGGAGTTTAGAAAAATTCTAAGGTCACTTGGCTGTAATAAGAAACAATATATAAAGATCAAGTACCTTAGAAAAATTCTAACATCCACCTCAAGTACCTTAGAAAAATTCCAACATCCACCTCAAGACGCTTAGAATTTTCCCAATATCCTCCTCTGTGAGCTTGGTATTTTCAAGGGTCAGACTGCCGTTGCATTTCTGATCTTACAGCGTTTGGGAGGCCCCCGCGACATGGAATTCACTGTTCGGGATGCCGTGCGCTCCCTCCCTCACTCCCTTCCCCTCCATCCACCCCGACCTTCTCCTCCTCGACTCCTCCTCTCATATCCCTCGACGAGCACTCTTGGGCGCAGCGTTTCCTCGTTCCATCGGCATCTTTTCCTCCCCCCCCGCCTCCCCTGTCCTCCTCCCGTCCTCCTCCCACGCTCCTCCCTCTCAGTCGCCACGTCGAGGCTTTCTTACACCTGCGGCAGCACCAACATATCCCCTGCGGTGCGCACCAATGGTTCAACCCTGACCCCACAGGGCAATGCATTCACTCGTTCAGACAAATGGGGCAAACGAAAAGGCCCTCCTCTTCGAATGGGGACCCCATCCCAAAAGCACGTGCCACGTTCTCTGCGCACGCGCTGTGCCAGTACACAACGCACTCGGAACATATGTACGAATCAAAGTGCTCTACGGGCTGCGCACCACCGCCGCCGACGACCCTGACATCCATGCCCATGGTGTCTGCGCACGCACAAAAAACGCAGGGAGCGTCGCAACTGAAGAGACAGTCGCGAGCAATCGGACCAGAAAACAGTTCGGCCGCGAAGGCCTTCATAATTAGCAAGCACCAATCAGGCACACGCTCACGCAAGTCCTTGGGCCGCGTGATCCTGACAGGCACGTTCCCGATGATGATGTTGCAGTGGTCCCTGTCGCACTCCCTCTTGAGATGCTCAGTCGCAAACGGCACGTTATACTTGAACCACAGGTGCTCGAGGTCCACCCTTGCTATTTTTGCAGACCTGCCAACACCCTCCCAAGCAACAAAGACAACATCGTAATGAACTTGACCATCTTCTGCAACTGTTCGCAATTCAACCAACGATACCAAGCCCCGCTCTGGAGCATCTGACATGTCAGTCCTGAAGCCGTAGTCCTCAGCGAAGTACATCGCGTCCCGAGCAGATGTGCGGCTTGCCTCGCATGCGCCCCTCACGTCGCGGAGAAGCTCAGCTCGGTGGTCGCCAGAGATGGCGTCAAAGACGTCGCTTTTATCAGGCCCTGCATGGTTATGTGGGTCAGGCTGTCGATCTCCAGCGTCGTCCTCAACGTCCGTATCCTTGCCGTCGCTGTCGAGGCCCTCGCTGGCGCCCTCGAGGTCCTCGCACTCCTCCTCCATGGCGTCCTGGGCAATCAATCGTTCAAGCTCCTCAGAGAAGCCGTCGTCGTCCTCAAGCATGTCAGGCAAACCGCCCTCGGCGTCGACTGTGTGTGTATTCTTTTTCTTGGGGCCATTGTAGGCCCGCTTGAACAGCGGCGTCACTTGGGCAGTGTCAGCGATCACCGAGGCGGCCTTCAACGACGTCCACGACAACATGTACTGGACCAGATGCAAGCGAGGACGCTGCTTCCGCCCAGCTGGAAGAGGGTGAAATGCATGTAGGGCCTCACCAACCAGAGCACACGCAGTACGTTTGACAATTGGAACGTGCAAGTGAAAATGGCATAGCTCGTCCACGTGGCCAGTTGCGCAATACATCGTCTTGTAGTGCGAAGTCCCCGCCAAGAATACGACGCTGCGATCTAAAGCAAGTGCGCGTGTATCAGGTGCGTCTGGGCCGACAATCACATACGCATACCTGGCTCCCAAGTCAGTCACATCAAATATGCTATAAGATATCGGAAGTGCTTCTCTGGCATTGTCGGGCAGGTCACCGACGAAGTGCGTGGTGGACGCATTGCTCGATCCAATAAGAGGGACAGCATCAGGATGAGGCCCTGCGCTGGCATCGCGCTCCTTGTCTGTGAGGGGGCTGAAGCGGAACATGTTCGCATCTGTCTTTGAGAACTCGACGACCTTCTTGTGCACTGCGACGGCCTCGTCGGTGGGAGTCCGTTCGCCAACTCTGTTCTTGAGGCGATCTGATGCCAGTCTCACCTTAGTGCGTGGAGCCCGTTCGCACATATTCTTCAACGTACTGTTCCAGCCCTCGATCTCCTGCGTCTCGCCATTGAATAACGCACGCCAGCCTGAAAGAAATATCCATACCATCCTCGTGCACTTACCAGTGCCCTGCATGATGACGAAATCTTCATAGAACATGGCACGTAACTTGAAGCTGAAGGAGTTGTACACGCCATCCTGCCACTCTAAGTTCTCCTTGGACGCAGTCATCAACCGATGGGCTAAGGCTTTGCGAGGAGCCGAGGCCTCCTCAGGGTCCGCCTCCAAGACGTTGAGAAAGTCGAGTGGGAACCTCTGCGTGGGGTCGTACATCCGTCGCTCCCAATCAAGAGCGCCACGCACCACCAAGGTCACGATCAAGCACAATGCCTTCGAGGAGGTCCGAACGCCAAACGAAATCAGACCACCGAAAACGAACCGAAAACTCAAAACCAACTGGTGTATTTTCATTGTTGTGAAGTTTCTTTTGGCGTTGCGAACCTCCTCGACATGTTCTGGTACATCGTCAGCTCGAATCAGACTCCAGGTGCCGACCCAGTGCGTCAGCATGGCGTCGTCGTCCAGGAGGGCGTTGAACTCGTCTAAGATAACCTTGGCCTTGCCCGACACGAACTTAGAAACGAAGGTTGGACCCGTGTAGGCGGTCCCTTGCTTTGATGCTTCCGATCGGTGTTCTCGCTCAATCTTGCTCTCCTGCTGCGCCCAACGCTGGAAATGAGCAAGGGGCCCCTTCGCGACGAGGTCGATCTCAGCTGTCCCCAAAAACAACTTGTCATTCAACAAGGCAACCGTGGTCTGGCGGTAGTTTCGGCGTTTCTCGTACCACTCAGCGTCCTCACCGTCCAGCTTTTTTGTCTTCTTCTTTGTCTTGTCTGCGTCTGTGTCGTCGAACTTCGGCCACGTGCGTCTGACAGCGGGTCCAAGTACATGCCGACCATTCCTCAAGTACATCTCGATGTCGTCAACGGAGCCCCACCGCGTCGCGATAACCCGATGAATGGTGTTGCCAACAGATTCTTTGACAACCTTGGGTGGGAACTTGAGCTCGGCAGCTGCTTCTCTGACTTTCCGTGGGACGCCTGTGCCTCTCAGAGTGTTCGCGATAACCTTCAAACCAGAAAGAAACGAAGAAGATCCCCAGGGCGTATGCCATTCCCAATTGTTCGTGATATCAACCATGCTCTGCTGGATCAGCGCGTTCTGATGGAAGCGGCAAAAATAACTAGATATCATCACCCAACGGACGTTAGAAACAGCTGCGACTGCAGCTCGAACGAGGCCTACACAGTCAAGTCCGCTATCTAAGCAAAAATGATAACTCCGAAAGCTAGGTCCATCTCGGCATGCGGCCTCCATCCACGTCGGAAGCCCCGCATTGCGAAACTGTCGCGTCACCAAGTCTGTGGTTTCTTTTGCACCGCCCGTCCGAACTGTCTGCAAGTCCAGCACTTCCCGAAAGAATGTCAGCTTGAGGTCGTCACTGTCGAAGTTGGTGTCGCTGCTGATGTCGCTCAGCGCCTCTGGGCATGTTGCAATGTAACTGGCTTCACCTGTCCACACTTTTGCCTTGTCGACTGCCTCTTGGTTCGTGGCGTCGCCCCTGAACATGAAGAATTCGAAGCTGAACAACTTGCTCCCAATCAACGCCACCATATCCCCACTGTCCAGAGAAGCCGCCCTCGCGTAGTTGATGCATATCTCATTCGATGTCGCGTGCAAGTGATTGACCGAGTCATAGAATGATTTGACGACCACGGTCCTGGCAATGGACAGGTTATGCTCGAAGCGGATGACCATGTTCTTGGCGCCGTCTGTGAAGGACCCCTGCCACTCCTCGCCAGCACACATGGCCACGACAGATCGTGCGCTGCTGCAGCCGTGAGACCTCTTGTACGCCAAATGGTAGCCGCCCCATATGCTGACGCAGCGCTTGCCTGGTCTGAAGTTCGTTTTCTGCACAAGTGAACGGTGGGTGTCGCGTAGGATCCGAGATTTTTTTGTGTGTAGCCCCAAGCGCTGCTCCGTCGTCGCCAGCCGTCGTTTCACCTGCTTGAGTTCGGACTGCAAGAGTGTTAGTTCGTTGTCTCGCTCCACCATCTGCACTGCTAAATCGTACTTGGGCATCTCGTAGTAGACAGAGACGCTCGGGCGCTGGACCACGTCGAAGCTGCCTTGGATCTCAGCTGCGAGCGCCAGCGCATCCTTGACCTCGTTACCGTCGGGCGCCTGGATAACTGGGACGTCAATCGATTCTGCCAGCTTCTCAAAAACTTCTACAAGCGTGGCCTCTGACACAACAGCGGCGCCCAGGAACGAGTTGACCAACAAGTGAAAGCATTCGAACCTGATGCCGTGATTATCCGCACGCATGCCGAGGCTGGATATAGTGTCCTTTATCGTTTTGGGCTTCACGTCCAGACGCAAGGCACCCAACATATCTCTGATGGCTCGAGCGCTGAGAGTGCCTGTCGAAACTATCGTTCTGGTGACATGCTTCCTGGTACTCAGGTGCTGAAAAATCTGAGTGGCGATCGAACTCTCAGTCCGAAGCATTGTCGTGCCGAAGCAAACTTTGAGCCCAAATGGCTACGCGGACGACCCTTGGACCCTGGGACCCTTGCTGTTAAGCATTCCCTTATCGTCCCATCTTGGCGTTTTGGAAGCGTTGGGTAAGGATACCTTCGGGAATCCAGGGTCTCGCGACCGATCTGCAGCCTGAAAAAAAACTCATCCCCCTCCGCTCCCGTCTTCTCCTCCACCTCCCCACACTGTACCCCGAGACGCTATGGCCAGAGGCCCCAAAACTCAGGAACGGCGCTCTCGCCCGAGGCGCCCTCACAATTCTTTCAAGCTGGCGACGTGCCCGTGCGCGCGTTAGCTCGCATGACGGCCGCGGCGGCACGGTGCGCATTGGCTCTTGGGCCTTGGGGAGGGGACGCACGAGAACACGAGAACGATAAAGGAAAAGAGGGCGCCTTCAAGGCTTCCTCTTTTCCTTTATCGTTCTCGTACGTCGTCGTCATCATCGCCGTTCTCATCGTCGCCGTCGCCGCCGTCGTCATCGACGCCGCCGCCCCAGCCAGACAGGCGCCCCGCCTCGGGAGGGGGCCCGTGGCGGACGCGCGCGGCCGGCGCAAAGCGCTGCGGCCCGCGAAGGAGGAGGAGGAGGAGGAGGAGGAGGAGGAGGATGTCAATGCGCAGCACACTTGCACATCCTGCAACATTCCTCACACTGCTCTGCCGCCTACCCTACATCATCTGTCACTCTCCTTCGTCCCCCTCCTATTCCTCCTCCTCCCTCCTCCTCCCTCCTACTCCTCCTCCCTCCTCCTCCCTCCTCCTTCTCCTCCTCTTCCTCCCTCCTCCTCGTTCTTTTCCTCGTCCTCCACCTCCTCCACCGCCTCATCCTCCTCCGCCGCCTCCTCCACCACCTCTAACTGGCCGAAACATATGAGAACACATATAAAAAGGAACCTATTAATACGAAAGACGACGACCAGACTTTTTTTTTGAAGCTGGAACCTACGAAACCTCTCGATGAAGACACCCCAGCGCACGTCGGAGAACAATGGCTGTCGGGTTTCGATGTTCTGGCTTCCGATGTTTTCATTCCGCGTTTCGGGCCGGCTTTCGGGTTTCGGTGTTCTGGCTTCGGACTCTCCAGTTTCTCGGTTTCCGCGTTGCGGGCTGGCTTTTCTGGCTTCGGGTTTTGGTTTGCGGCCTAGCACCCAGTACAGCGACTAGTACAGCGCCTTGAACAGTGCCTACTCGAGCGGCACACTACGCTGAAAGTGCTGCGTAATTGAAAACACGACGTCATAGAAAAAACTACGCAAGAAAGAACACTACGAAGTAGAAACACTACGTAGTAAAAGACACTAAGTAGTAGAAAGAAATACGTAATAGAAGACACCACGCAAAAGAAAACACGACGTAGCAGAAACACAGCATAGAAAGCACGACGTAGAAACAACTCATGCAGCTCCACTTGGGGGTGGCGGAAGCGGGAGGGGCAACCAAACTGGCAACCGAACTGAAGTAATTTTGCACGTCGTTGTCAACGACGTACAAAAATCACTGACAACACTACGTAGAAACACTGCGTAAACACACACGTTTGTTTACCAAATTACATAGGAAACACGACATAGAAAACACCACAAACAAACAACACTTCGGAAAACACATGCCTTTTCCGTTCAACAAAATCTACGTAAAATCACGGCTAAAGAAAAATCGTAGTTTTTTGAATTCACGATCAAGATTTCGATGTCACGGTTAAGAGAACACTTGCAGGGCCAGGGGCTCCTCCAGGCGCGCCCGGAGGCACCGGCTCTCCTCCAGACCTCCCTAGGGCAGCTGCCCATTCACCGACACTGTGCTTGTTTTGTTGAAGACGACCCAGGAGAGCGACGTATTCCTCCTTGGCCTTCTTGATCTTCTCCGCGGCATCTGCGAACAACGCACCGATGGAGGACTTGATGTCGGTCTGCAACGCGTCGAGCCTGCGCTGCGCCAGTTCGCGATAGGTATTGTCCCATCCGTACCCGTCGCCGTCGACTTAACCGAAGCTGCCCTACGTGATAGGCAACTCAGATTTACCCTCGAGGATGTCATCGATGCTGATGGCGGCGGCGACAGAGGACGGGGAACAGCAAGCCGCCTTCTGGTCCGTGGGACCACAAGCGGATGCGAGGAGAGCCTGAACGAGACGGGTACGTTCTGTTTCGGCAACCTTCAACTCGCCACTGGCTTTTGCCACCCTCTCCATTTGCTCCGTGAGCTGAGACTCGAGACGCTGGTTCTGCGCCACTGCTCGAGCAAGCTTTCTTTCCAAGGCCCGGACTGAATGGAAGGCGCTGCTGACACGCTGCCGTCAGGGGGCTCGGCTGGGGCAGACTGCGAGTTGCGAAGTTCGAGAACTTTCGCATGCGCGGCCGCCCCGTCGCGGCCCCCACCTTGTTGAGTAAGCTGACAGTAGCTAGGATATCATCGAGCTCGGCTTCGGGCGAGACTGGCGGGACCATGTAGGAGCCAGCTCCCGAAGCAAGGACCTGTGGGCCAGGATGAGAGGGAAGGTAAGTTTGAACCAATGCGTTGGTACTCGCATCGCCCTTTTTCTTGTCCTAGTCCCAGCTCGAACTCCACCAACCATCCATAGACTTGGAAGCGGGCCAAGAGGACGACGGGGGACCCCGAGCCCAGTCTCCCCCAAGGGAGCGGTAAATAACTGCGGTCAACCTCGGGGCGAAAAGCTCGGCATCGTGTGCAACGCCTCCAGCGGAGCAGATGTTTCTTGCATCCGCAGCTGCTGCACTTCCACTTGCCAGCTCCTCCTCCTCCTCTTCCCTCCTCTTCCCTCCTCTTCCTCCTCCTCCTCCTCCTCATCCTCCTCCTCCTCCTCCTCCTCCTCCTCTTCCCTCCCCCTCCTCCTGCTCCTCCTCCCCCTCCTCCTCCTCCTCCTCCTCCTCCTCCTCCTCCTCCTCCTCCTCTTCATTCTCGTCCTCCTCCGACGTACGTGTGCCCGTGGCGCGCGTGTTATTGCTAGTCGCAGGCTGCGCGTTGCCGCCGGAAGGGAGCCCTGCCGAGTTCTGCGGTTTCCGGCATCCTTCTGCATCTGGAGCTGCTGCGTCCCCGAGCCATCGCCCTGCTTCATGGACCGTAAGCGAGAAGCTCCTCTGCGTCAACCCCGACGGGGGACTCTCAAGCGGGCACAAGTGCAAACAGGGAGGGCCCTCCGATGAGAGATTCGGTGTGGAAAACGGCTCGAGCCGAAACAGCCACGGAGGAGGGTGAGGAGGAGAAGGATGAGGAGGGCGAGGAGGGTGAGGACGAGGAGTAAGGCTGAGAAGGGGAAGAGGATGATGAGAAGGATGAGGAGGAGGTGGAGGGAGGCGGAGTGAGACGCGCGGCGCTGCGAGTTCGAAACGAGCCCCTTTCTGTTCGACCCGCCACCAGCGCCCGCGGAGCCGACGGGCCGGCAGCGGCCGGAGGAGCACGCTATAGCGGCCACGGGCAGGGCGGCGGGCGCCGGCCGAGGCCCTGGGAAGCCCGGCCAGCGCACGGAGCGGGCACGACGGCGACGACGGCGACGACGACGACGGCAAAACCGACGACGACGACGACGACGACGACGACGACGACGACGACGACGACGACGACAACGGCGACAAAGACGACGACGAAGAAGACGACGTCGCCGACGACGGCGACGACGACGGCAAAAACGGCGACAAAGACGACGACGACGACGACGACGACGACGACGACGGCGACGACGACGACGATGGCAAAAACGGCGACAAAGACGACGGCGACGACGAAGACGACGACGACGACGACGACCACGGCGAGGCTTCTTGGCACTGCCGTGACTCTTTGGGCACTTCCGCGCCTCATGCAGATCATGGTCGGATGCACGGATGCACGTGCGCGGCCATCATAGCCGTATGCACGTGCGCGGCCCACCATGGTCGGCCTATCATGGCCCATCACGTGCACGAGCACCAGGTCCAGTCCAGTCCATACGCCTTGCGCTGGCCACAGCGCGTGAGCAATGGGTGAAAATGTGCACGAAACCGTCAAGCGGAGATCACCATTAGGAGAAACCGTCAAGCGGATGCCTTCAGCACGCCACCCATGCCTTGACCGCCTGCTCCCACCTGCGAGCTGCACCACCCTCTCGGCGGAAGCGTTCAGCATATCGCTCATGGAAGCCGGCAACATTCTCGCAAGTCTTTAGCACCATGGGCCCCCAAGATTGGCGAGCACAAATCGCTAGCGCCTGGCTAAGGACGCTACACCGCTAAGCGCAACTTTCGCCGACGCTCTTCGGGTGTCAGTAGCCCGTGAGGATGCTTTACTTCCCCAGGCCCAATGCTCCTCCTCCCATTCCTCCCCCCTTTGTCACTCATCCCAGCGCCTCCTGGGCTCGAGGATCCCCGAGGGGATCCTCGAGCCTGGATCCTCTTCGATCCTCCTCGATCCTCGATCCTCCTCGATCCTCCTCGATCCTCGATCCTCCTCGATGCCAGCTGCCCCGCGACGATCCCCCAGGCCTCCTGCGTGGGCCCGTGGGGTGCTTCACAAACGGACCAGGACCCAGCAAGGCAGACAACCATATACCACACACACACACGCACGCAAACACGCAAACACACACACACAAACACGCACACAAAAGCACACACACACATACGCACACACACACACATACGTACTCACAGACACACAACAAGCTCACGCACGCACGCGCGCAAACACACGCACGCACGCACGCACGCACACACGCGGCCACGAAACGTGTGAGGGGTGTGCCGAAATGGGGGGGGGACCATGTAATCACATCCACTGGGACCTTCGGGTGAGCTCCCTATGGGGCCACGCAGCGTGTGAGGGGTGCAGAAATAGGTGGGTGGGGGACGCATGCAATCACACCCACTGGGACCATCGGCGGAGCTCCCCACGGGGCCACGAAACGTGCGAGGGGTATGCCGACATGGGTGGTGGGGACGCATGTAATCACACCCACTGGGACCTTCGGTGGAGCTCCCTATGGGGCCACGCAACGTATGAGGGATGTGCCGACATGGGTGGGAAGGGAGACGCATGGAATTACACCCGCTGGGGCCTTCGGTGTAGCTCCCTATGGGGCCACGGAGCGTGTGAGGGGTGTGCCGAAATGGGTGGGGTGGGGGGCGCATGTAATCACACCCTCTGGGACCTTCGGTGGAGCTCCATATGGGGCCACGGAACGTGTCAAGGGTGTGCCGACATGGGTGGGGGGAAGGGAGGGGGCGCATGTAATCAAACCCGCTGGAACCTTCGGTGGAGTTCCCTATGGGGTCACGAAGCATGTGAGGGATGTGCCGAAACGGGTGGGGGAAGGACGCATGCAATCACACCCACTGGGACCTTCGGTGGAGCTCCCTATGGGACCACGCAACGTGTCAGGGTGTGCCGAAACGGGTGGAGGGACGCATGCAATCACACATTCTGGGACTTTCGGTGGAACTCCCTATGGGGCCACGAAGCGCGTGAGGGGTGTGCCGAAATGGGTCGGGAGACGCATGTAATCACACCCGAGCTCTTTATGGGGGCACGAAGCATATTAGGGGTGCGTCGAAATGGGGGGGGGGGTCGCATGTAATCACACCTACTAGGACCTTCGGTGGAGCTCCCTATGGGACCACGAAACATGAGGCTTGTGCCGAAATGGCTGACTGGTGCGGAGGGCAGAGGCGATGATGGAAGGAGGGAGGAGGGGAGAATAGGAGAGGAACGCAGGTCGCTGTCTCTTCAATACGAAGACCCAACCCCACATGATGGTTGGGAATAAAAGTGATGATGGGTGTGATGATGATGATGATGATGACGATGACGATGATGATGATGGTGATGATGATGATGATGATGACGCTGCTGCTGATGATGATAACGATGATGATTATGATTATGATGATGATGATGATGATGATGATGATACTGATGGTGATGATAATGGTGGTGGTGGTGATGATGCTGCTGATGATGATCACGAATCCCCGGGAGAGATCCGTCCAGATTACGGCTCGTGGCGCGCGCGGCGCGCGGCACAGATAGCAGTATGCAAAACGGCGTGCGGACGCCCGCCCCTCAGGACGTGATCCTTCATGGCGTGGAACACCTTGTGGGCAGCTGCCACCCGGACGAGGCCGGTAGGCGAGTCTAGCCCCAGCCGGTCGCGTGTCGAAGACGGGCTCGAGCCAGGCCAGTTTTCGAAGAGGTTCCAGAACCCGTCGCACTCGAAGTAGTGCTTCTGGTCCGCGTCGGGGAAGCCACAGATGTAACAGGCGTGCCGAGTAGGCTCGTGCATGCGGCGGGTCGTAAACCACCCATGCGCCCATGTTCGTAGCACCAGCGTGCGAAGAGGACGACGAAGAGAGCGAAGGCGTGCAACAGCAGCATCAGCGTCGACCAGGGACAAGGTGTCGTCAGCTGTGAAGCTCCGCCACCGCTGCAGTATCAGCGAGGGCCAATCTGGATCCCACCACTCCTTCAGGAGCGCTGGCGCGGCAAGCGGCCACGAAGCCAATCCCGACGAACTACTGCTGATGATGATGATGCTGATGCTGATGCTGATGCTGATGATGATGATGATGATGATGATGATGATGATGATGATGGGAGGAGCGAGAAGGGGGAGGAGGAATGAGAAAGGAGAGATGAGGATAACGCGGGGCGCTATCTCTTCAAAATAAACACCCAACACCACACAATAATTTCAAAGCACACCTGCTGCACAATACTTCTAAGAATGAGCAACTGCACTTCTGTTCAGCCATCTGCTTCTTGTCATCGCCATCGCGTCACCGGTACAACTTTTGATACTTCGAGGTCGGAGCTGGCCAGGCTGTTTACGTACATTTTACGGGGTCAAATTCGCCTGCCTCCTTCAGCGGAAATGCAAAACGGCTGCGTTTAAGGGTGGGAGGAGAGACAGAACGACGAGTAAACATATCAACAAGCACACCAAACAGACCACATGGAGAACTACTGGCCAAGCAGGCTCCGACCGATCCTCCTAAGAACACTCATGTGCATCGGGTATCAGCCCAGCCGTGTTCCCGCGAAGCGGTTCGTGTCCTACGCTTGACTGGGACGCGAAGCGGTTCGTCCCACGCTTGAGTGGGACGTTGCTCTGAAGCATGCAGGCTCCCTGAAGCTACAAAACTTCTTCTGCCCTGCGCGGTCCTGCAAAAGGAGGGGCCCGAAACGGTCGGAGGGAGCCCAGCCAGCACTCAGTAACGGAGGCCTGGAAATGGACACCAGCACCAACACAGGAATATGCTCACCTCGGGGATGGACAGACCCCCCTTTAGTAAAACGTGGTTTAGTGAAATCGACCTGAGGCCCAAACCTGGCGGGCGCAAGCCTGGAAAATAACGGCCACGGCGCCCTCTCGAGAACCGAAAACGGACAATTCACTAATCGACGTGTCACTGTTGGGGGTTCTGTCCACCCCCGATCACCATCATCGAGATCGGGATCTTCTTCCCTCGGTGGAGGCACACCGCCGAAATTGGTGTTTGTGTCAACCTCTAAGCCTGCGACGGTAGCCGATCGGAGCGTAGCTCAAAAGCTGAAGACCTGGTGCCCCCGCGCCTGCGGAGGCGACCCCCGCGGCGGAGGCCCCTGAGGCTGCACGTGCTGCTGCTGCTGCTGCTGCTGCTGCTGCTGCTGCTGCTGCTGCTGGTAGGCCTCCCGCTGGTAGGCCTCCCGCTGGTAGGCCTCCTGCTGGAACGCCTCCAGCTGGAAGGCCTCCTGCTGGAAAGCCTCCGCAGGCGGCCTGCTGGCGCCGGGCCAAGGCATCCGCGGGGCGCCGCCGCCGCCGCCCGCGCAGGGGTCGTGGCCCCAGCCGCCCATCGCCTGCGCCGCGAACTCGGGCTCTCTGGGGGCGGGGCCGCCCTGCTGCGGCGCATGGCCGGAGGGCACGCCCGCCCACGAGGCGGCGCCGGGGGCCTCCCGCGCCCGGTCGCCCTGCGCGCCGCACGGGCGGCCGGCGGGAGGCGCCTGCGCCGTCCGCTGCGGGAGGCGCCTGCGCCGCTCAGGCGGCGCGTCGAACGACAACCTCGCAGCAGGCTGCTGCGCGCCCTTTCCGGGCCCGCGGCCTGCAGCCCCCCCGGCGGCGGCGTCCAACCCGCGCCTGGGGTTGCCGCTGCCGCGGCCGCCGGGCATCCTGCGCCCATCGTCGCTGGGCAGCTCTGGCGGGGCCCACGCGGGCGGCCCGTGGATGTCTGCGGCGTATCCGCCGCCCTGGTGGCCACCGCCCTTGTGGCCGTCACTCTTGTGGCCAGAGCTCTGGCCTTTCGCGCGGTGGCCGCCGCTCTGGTGGACGACGCCGCCCTGGTGGCTGCCGCCCTTGTGGCCTCCGCCCTGGTGGGCTCCGCCGCCCTGGTGGCTGCCGCCCTGATGGCCGCCGGCTTGGTGCTGCCACTGCGGCGGCCACCCGCTCGAGTCCAGCGCGCCCCTCGGCTGTGAGCCGACCTCGCCGAAGCCTGGCCGCTGGCCCCACTCGTCCTCCGACCCAGCGTGGCCCAGGCCTGGTGCCCGTCCGCCGCCGAGGTGGCCGCCGTGCTGGCCAGGCGGCAGCGGCCGCGGCGCCGCCCCAGCCTGGGCGGCTGTGCGCGCGCCAGGCCTGCGGCCCGCCGCTGCCGCGACGTGCGCCCGGGCCTCGAGCCCTGGCGGGGCGTCCAGCCCTGGCGGGGCGTCCAGCCCGGGCGGCGCGGGTGGCGGCGCGGCGGGCGCCGCCGCAGCCACGCCGCCGGCCGAGGCCAGAGGCCCCTGCGCGGCGCTCCCTTGCGGCGGATGCGGCGCGGGCGGCGCGGCGCGAGGGGCGGGCAGTGCCTGGGGAGCGTCGGCCGCGACTTGCGGGGAGGCGCGCCGGTCGGAAGCGCCTCCGCCCTCGGCCGCGGCCTTCCTGTCTGCCGGCAGCTGCCGCGCGCCGCCAGCGTTGGCCTCGGAGCCCTCGCAGAGGGTCGGAGGAGGGCGTACTGAGACAACGGCGGCCCCCCCAGTAGGTCGTGCGATTACAGATTGCAACCAGATGTCTTCGTAGTTTTTTACATGCGTGTACCGTTTGTTGCAAATGCTCACATCTTCCAAGTGCAGATCCATAGCGTTCCAATCGGTAGAAAATGAATCAAACATGCCTGGTTGTAATCATACACACAGCGGGTCGGACGGCCCCCCCCGCACGGCCCGAACCCGCTCGACATCGGTGCCTGCGAGCCCGCTCGACATTGATCCCTGGGCCCCTTCCCGGGTCTCTCCCGGCCCGCTCCTCGAGGCGAGCTCGTGCGCGGGGGCGAGGCGCCTTGCGCAGCATCCAGAAGCGGAAACGAAGAGGTGGCGCGGTTACGCTTACGGTGGAGGCCCGTTCACAAGAAACCTCCCACAGGAAACTCAACCCTGAGACCCCAGGACGTCCGTTGATTTTCGGTGTGGGAACGCCACGCTGTCCATCGCAAACCATCTAAACCCAAGAAACCCAGGGCACCCTGGAGGCAAGCAGGGTTTCTTGGCATGGCCCCCCACAGTAGGTCGGGCATGTTCTCCTACACGGATTTTGGAGGTAAATCAAAAATGCCCCCAACATTTTCAAGAATAATCCAACAAATTATAGAAAAATCGCCCCCCGACTTCTTCTAGACTATTTTTGAATATTCCTCCTGTAGAAGGACAGACCCGACTTCAATTTGCGCCTTGATTCTTTCAGGACGTGGACCGCCGGATGCCTCGACCCATTGCCCTGGGACCGGCTTTGGCGGTCAGAGGGCGAAGACGGCCCAAACCCTCCGTCGTGACTTCCTCGCGACGCGAACACGGCCGCCTCGGTCTCCGTCGGCCCCCCTCCGAAGATGGCCTCCATCTGGCTCCTCTTCGGGGGCGCCCTCTCCCGCTTGGGCGACGAGGTGGCGCCGCTCATCTCGTCGCGGTCCGCCGCGTACTTCAGGAGCAGCAGCGCTCGGCTCGGGAAGTGGGGCACCAGGAGCAGTTGCTCCTCTGGGAGGGCGGCAGCCGTACACCCAGCTCGGGCGTGTTCCCATGCAGGAGAATCTTGGACGAAACATCAGACACACTTCAGACAATGCTCAAACATAGCAGCATCTATTCCCCAAATAGCCCAATAGACTCAAACAAATACTCGTACCCTGACTACTCTTTGGCAATGCTTGAAGATTCCTCCTGCAAAGGGACGGGCCCGACTTAGCCTGGGTAGTCGAAGCCAATCTGGCGCCAATCTGGCAGGCCCAATCTGGCAAACGGGGGCAATCTGGCGAGGGAGCCAACGCGAATCCAGTCTGGCGAATAACCTAAATTATCCAGTTTGGCCGGGCCCGATTGGCCCTTGGGGCCCAATCCAATCTGACAGTCTGGCCTTCGACTACCCACTTAGCGGCAGCAGTGCACCCGCGCCGACCCTGGCCAGATCGCTCCCGAGCCCCATGGGGGGAGCGGTATAGCGTGTGCCGCCCTCGCCAGGCCGGGAGGGCGCGTGGTCACACCAGGCCCGAGCCCGGGGTGGGCCTGGCCAGGAGCGGTGCAGGCGCCTGGTTTTGCGAGGAGGAGGAGGAGGAAGAAGAGGAGGAGGAGGAAAAGGAGGAGGAGGAAGAGGAGGAGGAGGAAGTCCAGGGTTCGCTAGGGGCTGGTATCTTTTCAAAACAGCCGAGCCCCTCCCGGTATCCTCGGAAAACCCTCTGGGACGGGCTCCTGGATGCTTTTTCGGGAGATTTTGGAAAGGCCTTGGAGGGAAACCGGCCCCTGGCGAGCCCTGGGCTTCCTAAGTCTAGTTGCCCCTCTGGGATCCTTGGCCCGCAGTCCCGTCCTCGAGCCATTACTGTGCCGCTTCATGCGGTCCACCTGGGAGGGGACAAACACGGCACAAGCATAACCTCTCGGAGCTCGTCGCGGCTTCCGCGGATTGGCACCAGGCCCCGCCTCTGGCGCGCTCCGCGCGCCAGGGAGGGAGAGAGCGCCGATCCAAGGAATCCGTGCGGACCTTCCCCAAACAGCTTGTCTTAGGTCGGGCATGCTCTCCTGCAGGTGGATTCTGGAGGAACGCTTGAAGAAGAGTCTAACATAATCAAACATAATTTGAAACACAAGCATGAGAAATCGTCACCATATTATTTTTCTGCTACTCCTGAATTTGCATCCTGTGGGGGGACACGCCCGACTTCAAGCTTGCTGTAACGGCTCTAAAGAAAGCTATTACAGTGGAGGCCAGTCCACAAGAAACCTTTCACAAGAAACCCGATCCTGAGACCCCAGGACGTCTATTTTTTTGGTGTGGGAACGCCATGCTTTCCATAGCAAACCATCGAAATCCAAGATACCCAGGGCACCCTGGAGGCAACCAGGGTGCTTCTTGGCATGGGTCCCCCGCTGTAACGGCTGTATAGAGAGAGTGCGAGGGAACCGGGCACCCCCCAAAGCGGTGGCGCCCATCGCGGCCCCCCATCCGTGCACCCGAGTACAGTAGGTCCGTGTCGTGTCGACCCTTGCCTTGGTCCCTGACACCGCGGGGCTCGTTCAAAGTTCCTGGTCTTACTGCGCGATTATGCCGTACTCGTCGTCGTCGTCGTCGTCATCGACGCCTTCCTGCTCCTCATCGCCAGCGATCGGAAGGTTGCCGTGAGGCAATCGAAGCGTGCCGCGGGGATCGGAACCCAAAAGGGCAGTCGGAGGCCGAAGCGATTACTGGGCTGCGTCGGCCTTGGTTCCTGACGCCGCGGGGATCGTTCAACCTGGAACGATAGGCCGTCTCCGCAGCGTGAACTCGTTCACAGAAGAAGACAGAACGGCATCAACATGAACTTTTGGCGCTCCGCGTGGATTTCTTGGATCTGCGCTGGACCCCCTCCATGGCGCGCGGAGCGCGCCAGGGGCGGCGCTTGAGGCGCCGCCAGGGTGCTATGGATCCAAGAAGCCCGCGCGGAGCGCCAAATTGTTTGTTCTTCTTCGAGTTCAGCATCGACCGATTCTGGGTCGCCGGCGGCGTTCAACGCTGAACGCAAGCGGCGGGGTCGCCGCCGGTCGGCACGGCGCGACCCTGCAATGTGGGTGCGGCCGCCAGAAGCCCTCGCCGAAGACCCAGCCTTGAACACCCGCGCGCGAGGCACATCTGAGGGGAAGCCCGTACAGTCGAGGCGTTGACCTAAGGAACCCTAAATAAGCAACGAGGCCCCTATTTTCCATAAGTCAAACTTCGATTTCGTATCGAAACCCTAAGGAAAATCTAAGGCAAGCTGCGAAACAATTAATAGCCGGAGTGCATTATCCCCAAACAGGGTTTTTAGACCCACTGCGGATTCCAAGGTCGATTGCGTGCCCGTCCAGTGCGGGCTGGCATGGCATGTTAAAACATGCCTCCTCCTCCTCCTCCTGCTCCTCCTCCTCCTCCTCCTCCACCTCCACCTCCTTTTCATCCCGAACGGCATTTCGGAGCCCAGAGTTGCGAGGATGTCTCCAGCGTAACGGACTGGACCACCTCGCGCGCGGCATTTCGGACCCCAGAGTTGCGACGATGTCTCGGGCGAAACGTGCTGCGAGGGGGCCGTCGGGGCCTCCCAAAATGAGGGGGGGGGGCCACAAGAGCAGGAAAAATCAACGAATCGGCACCGGATGTGTATTAACTGGACACGTTCTGAGAGGGGGCCTCCTGGGAGCCTCCTGGGAATCTCCTGCGGACCCCTGGGGCCTGTCCTGGGCGTCCTGCGACCTCCTGGGAGACACATGTGGTCTTCTGGGCCCCCAGGCTGGACCACCTCTTGCGCGGCATCTGACATTTCAGAGTTGCGAGAATGTCTTGTGCGAAACGGGCCGGACCACCTTGCGCACGGCATCTCAGAGCTCAGAGTTGCGAGGATGTCTCAGGCGAGATGGGCTGGACCACCTCGCGCAGGGCATCTCGGAGCCCAGAGTTGCGAGGATGTCTCCAGCGTGACGGGCTGGACCACCTCGCGCGCGGCATTTCGGACCCCAGAGTTGCGACGATGTCTCGGGCGAAACGTGCTGCGAGGAAGTCTCAGGCGAAACGGGCCGGACCACCTCGAGCGCGGCGTCTCAGAGCTCCGAGTTGCGGGGGCCTCCTGGGGCCTCCTGGGACCTCCTGGGGCTTCCTCCTGGGCCTCCTGTGGCCTCCTGGACCCCACCTGGGGCTTCCTGAAGCCTCTTGGGGCTCCCAGGGGGGGATATCTAACATGTGGCCGTCGGGGCCCCCCCAAATGGGGAGGGGGCCACAAGAGCAGGAAAAATCAACGAATCGGCACCGTATGTATATTAACTGGACACGTTCTGATAGGGTGCCTCCTGGGGCCTCCTGGGAGCCTCCTGGGAATCTCCTGCGGACCCCTGGGGCCTGTCCTGGGCGTCCTGCGACCTCCTGAAACTCTCTGGGGCCTCCTGGGGCTCCCAGGGTCCCAGGGAGGATATGTAACATGTGGTCTTCTGGGCCCCCAGGCTGGACCACCTCTTGCGCGGCATCTGGGAGCTCAGAATTGCGAGAAATGTCTTGTGCGAAACGGGCCGGACCACCTTGCGCACGGCATCTCAGAGCTCAGAGTTGCGAGGATGTCTCAGGCGAGATGGGCCGGACCACCTCGCGCAGGGCATCTCGGAGCCCAGAGTTGCGAGGATGTCTCCAGCGTAACGGGCTGGACCACCTCGCGCGCGGCATCTCGGACCCCAGAGTTGCGAGGATGTCTCGGGCGAAACGTGCTGCGAGGAAGTCTCAGGAGAAACGGGCTGGACCACCTCGAGCGCTGCGTCTCAGAGCTCCGAGTTGCGGGGGCCTCTTGGGGCCTCCTGGGGACCTCCTGGGGCTTCCTCCTGGGCCTCCTGTGGCCTCCTGGACCCCACCTGGGGCTTCCTGAAGCCTCTTGGGGCTCCCAGGGGGGGATATCTAACATGTGGCCGTCGGGCCCCCAAAAATCGGGAGGGGGGCCACAAGAGCAGGAAAAATCAACGAATCGGCACCGGATGTGTATTAACTTGACACGTTCTGATAGGGGGCCTCCTGGGGCCTCCTGGGAGCCTCCTGGGAATCACCTGCGGACCCCTGGGGCCTGTCCTGCGCGTCCTGCGGCTTCCTGAAGCTCTCTGGAGTCCTGGGGCTCCCAGGGTCCCAGGGGGGATATGTAACATGTGGTCTTCTGGGCCCCCAGGCTGGACCACCTCTTGCGCGGCATCTGGGAGCTCAGAGTTGCGAGAATGTCTTGTGCGAAACGGGCCAGACCAACTTGCGCACGGCATCTCAGAGCTCAGAGTTGCAAGGATGTCTCAGACGGGCCGGTGTCTCGGGCGAAACGCGCTGCGAGGAAGTCTCAGGCGAAACGAGCCGGACTACCTCGAGCGCGGCGTCTCAAAGCTCCGAGTTGCGGGGGCCTCCTGGTGCCTCCTGGGGCCTCCTGGGGACCTCCTGGGGCTTCCTCCTGGGCCTCCTGTGGCCTCCTGGACCCCACCTGGGGCTTCCTGAAGCCTCTTGGGGCTCCCAGGATGGGCCTCTCAAAATGGAGGGGCACAAGAGCAGGAAAAATCAACAAATCGACACCGGATGTGTATTGACTTGACACGTTCTGATAGGGAGCCTCCTGGGGCCTCCTGGGAGCCTCCTGGGGATCTCCTGGGGACCCCTGGGGCCTGTCCTGGGCGTCCTGCGGTCTCCTGGAGCTCTCTGGGGCCTCCTGGGGCTCCCAGGGAGGATATGTAACATGTGGTCTTCTGGGCCCCCAGGCTGGACCACCTCTTGCGCGGCATCTGGGAGCTCAGAATTGGGAGAATGTCTTGTGCGAAACAGGCCGGACCACCTTGCGCACGGCATCTCAGAGCTCAGAGTTGCGAGGATGTCTCAGGCGAGACGGACCGGGCCGCCTCGCGCAGGGCATCTCGGAGCTCAGAAGTTCGAGGATGTCTCAGGCGGGCTCCCAGGGTCCCAGGGAGGATATGTAACATGTGGTCTTCTGGACCCCCAAGCTGGACCACCTCTGGGAGCTCAGAATTGCGAGAATGTCTTGTGCGAAACAGGCCGGACCACCTTGCGCACGGCATCTCCGGCATCTCAGAGCTCAGAATTTCGAGGATGTCTCAGGCGAGACGGGCCGGACCACCTCGCGCAGTGCATCTCGGAGTTCAGAAGTTCGAGGATGTCTCCAGCGTGACGGGCTGGACCACCTTTCGCGCGGCATCTCCGAGGTCAGAGTTTCGAGGATGTCTCAGGCGAAACGGGCCGGACCACCTCGCGCAGGGCATCTCAGAGCTCAGAGTTTCGAGGATCTCTCATGCGAAACGGCCCGGACCACCTCTCGCACGGCACCTCGGGGCTCAGAGTTTCGAGGATGTCTCAAGCGAAACGGCCCGGACCACCTCTCGCGCGGCGTCCCGGAGCGCAACTTTTCGAGGATGTCTCAGGCGAAACGGCCAATCCCGGCCAACTCAGAGACGAGAGTTGTGAGGATGTCTCGAGCGAAACGGCCCGGACCATCAAATTTTTGTGAGGACGTCTCTGCTCCGACTTCCCTCGGCCGGAGTTAGCTTCTATCACAGCAGCACCCCGTTCAGCAAGCTGTTTGGGGAAAAAGCAGTCCCTGGGATAAGATCGAGAGGTCCGCGGACGCACGTCTCGAAACAAACATCTGGACGTCGGATGTCTGGAGATGGCGGGAGGCAAGGCGCGCATGGCGGATGCTGAGGCGGCAAAATGACGGAGACGGCGACGGGGAGGCGGAGGCGGAGGCACAGCAGCGAAGGGCGAGAGGCGTGAGGAGGAAGGAGGGAAGAGGAGGCAGGCGGGAGGCAAGAGGAGGGAGGTGGGAGAAATGAGAGGTTTCAGGCAGAACGCGGCACACCATCTCGTGCGCAGCATCTCGAAGAACCCTGACGAAGATCCAGTCCCGGGGACGAGATCGAGAGGTCCGCGGGCGCACGTCTCGAAACAAAAATGGTGACGTCGGATGTCTGCGGAGGGCGGAAGGCAAGGCGCGCATGGCGGCATCTCGGAGCTTCGCATTGTGAGGATGGCTCGGGAGAAACGGACTGGACCACCTCGCGTGCGGCATCTCGGAGCTCAATATTGGAAGGATGCCCCAAGCGAAACGGGCCGTTCTACCTCTCGCTTCCCGTTAAGCCCTCTCATGCAACTCCATTCCTCATTCCTCCTCCTCCTCCTCCTCCTCCTTCTCGTCCTCCTCCTCCTCCTCCTCCTCCTCCTCCTCTTCCTCCTCCTCATCCTCCTCCTCCTCCTCCTCCTCCGGCACGTTTTGAGACGTCGCTAAAAGGAATATAAAAATCCTGTTTGGGGAACCCTGTCTCGGAGCCCAGAGTTGCGAGGATGTCCCAGGTCGCACCTGGTCGACGAGTAAGCTGTCGGGTCGGCACTGTGAGAGGCTCCACCGCCATGCTGTGAACCCAGAAGCAACTTTAAGAGGAAGCGGGGGAGGGCGCGGAAGCGGGGGGGCATGTCGTGATGGTTCCCTCGGGGATGATATCGACAGGTACGCGGCGCACGTCTCAAAAGAAAAATCGTGACGTCGGATGTCTGGGGAGGGCGGAAGGCAGTGCGCGCATGACGGATGCTGAGGCGGCAGAAACGACGACGGCGGGGACGGGGAGGCGGAGGCAGAGGCGCAACAGCGGGAGGCGGGAGGCGGGAGGAGGGAGGAGGGAAGAGGAACCGGGCGGGAAGTGGGAAGAGGGAGGCGGGAAAAGGAATGAGAGAGGTTGTGACTGGAGCTCCTGTGCTACGAAACGTCTCAGGCAGAATGGGCCAGACCATCTCGCGCGCAACATCTTCGAGCTCAGTATTGGAAGGATGTCTCAAACGAAACGGGCCGGACATCTGTCGCACACGTTTTGACAAGTCCACATCGCACTCGCTTCCCGTTAGGTCCTCTCCTGCAACTCCCATCCTTCTCCCTCCTCCTCCTCCTCCTCCTCCTCCTCCTGCCTGCTCCCTCATGCACATCATCCGCCTCCTCCTTCTCCCTTCCATTTCCTTCTCGTTCTCCTTCTCCTCCTCCTCCTCCTCCTCCTCCTCCTCCTCCTGCTCCACCTCCTCTTCATCCCGAACGGCATCTCGGAGCCTAGAGTTGCGAGGATGTCTCCAGCGTAACGGGCTCGACCACCTCGCGCGCGGCATCTCGGACCCCAGAGTTGCGACGATGTCTCGGGAAAACGTGGTGCGAGGAAGTCTCAGGCGAAATGGACCGGACCACCTCGAGCGCGGCGTCTCAGAGCTCCGAGTTGCGGGGGCCTCTTGGTGCCTCCTGGGGCCTCCTGGGGACCTCCTGGAGCTTCCTCCTGGGCCTCCTGTGGCCTCCTGAACTCCACCTGGGGTTTCCTGAAGCCTCTTGGGGCTCCCAGGGGGGATATCAAACCTGTGGCCGTTTGGGCCTCTCCAAGAGCAGGAAGAATCAACGAATCGACACCGGATGTGTATTAACTTGACACGTTCTGATAGGCGGCCTCCTGGGTCCTCCTGGGAGCCTCCTGGGAATCTCCTGGGGACCCCTGGGGCCTGTCCTGGGCGTCCTGCGGCCTCCTGGAGCTCTCTGGGGCCTCCCCCTCCTCCTGCCTGCTCCCTCATGCACATCATCCGCCTCCTCCTTCTCCCTTCCATCTCTTCCTCCTCCTCCTCCTCCTCCTCCTCCTCCTCCTCCACCTCCTCTTCATCCCGAACGGCATCTCGGAGCCTAGAGTTGCGAGGATGTCTCCAGCGTAACGGGCTGGACCACCTCGCGCGCGGCATCTCGGACCCCAGAGTTGCGACGATGTCTCGGGCGAAACGTGCTGCGAGGAAGTCTCAGGCGAAACGGGCCGGACCACCTCGAGCGCGGCGTCTCAGAGCTCCGAGTTGCGGGGGCCTCCTGGTGCCTCCTGGGGCCTCCTGGGGACCTCCTGGAGCTTCCTCCTGGGCCTCCTGTGGCCTCGTGAACTCCACCTGGGGTTTCCTGAAGCCTCTTGGGGCTCCCAGGGGGGATATCTAACCTGTGGCCGTTTGGGCCTCTCCAAATGGAGGGGGGGGCACAAGAGCAGGAAAAATCAACGAATCGACACCGGATGTGTATTAACTTGACACGTTCTGATAGGCGGCCTCCTGGGGCCTCCTGGGAGCCTCCTGGGAATCTCCTGGAGACCCCTGGGGCCTGTCCTGGGCGTCCTGCGGCCTCCTGGTGCCTCCTGGGGCCTCCTGGGGACCTCCTGGAGCTTCCTCCTGGGCCTCCTGTGGCCTCCTGAACTCCGCCTGAGGTTTCCTGAAGCCTCTTGGGGCTCCCAGGGGGGCATATCTAATCTGTGGCCGCTTGGGCCCCTCAAAATGGAGGAGCAGGAAAAACCAACGAATCGACACCGGATGTGTCTTAACTTGACACGTTCTGATAGAGGGCCTCCTGGGGCCTCCTGGGAGCCTCCTGGGAATCTCCTGAAGACCCCTGGGGCCTGTCCTGGGCGTCCTGCGGCCTCCTGGACCTCTCTGGGGCCTCCTGAGGCTCGCAGGGTCCCATGGAGGATATGATGTAACATGTGGTCTTCTGGGCCCCCAGGCTGGACCACCTCTTGCGCAGCATCTGAGAGCTCAGAGTTGCGAGAATGTCTTGTGCGAAACAGGCCGGACCACCTTGCGCACGGCATCTCAGAGCTCAGAGTTGCAAGGATGTCTCAGGCGAGACGGGCCGGACCACCTCGCGCAGGGCATCTCAGAGCTCAGAAGTTCGAGGATGTCTCAGGCGAAACGGCCGGACCACCTCTCGCGCGGCATCTCCGAAGTCAGAGTTTCGAGGATGTCTCAGGCGAAACGGGCCGGACCACCTCGCGCAAGGCATCGCAGAGCTCAGAGTTTCGAGGATGTCTCAGGCGAAACGGCCCGGACCACCTCTCGCACGGCACCTCGGGGCTCAGAGTTTCGAGGATGTCTCAAGCGAAACGGCCCGGACCACCTCTCGCGCGGCGTCCCGGAGCGCAACTTTTCGAGGATGTCTCAGGCGAAACGGCCAATCCCGGCCAACTCAGAAACGAGAGTTGTGAGGATGTCTTAAGCGAAACGGCCAAAACCATGCAATTTTTGTGAGGATGTCTCTTCTCCGCCTTCCCTCGGCCGGAGTTAGTTTCTATCACAACAGCACCCCGTTCAGCAAGCTGTTTGGGAAAAAAGGGTTCCTTCTTCAGGGCCCCGACTGTAGCATTCTGAACGCAGCAGCTTCTTCCACGGCTGCGGAAGTCACCGCGCAGCGTGCGGAGCGAAGAAGCCCAGGATGCCCTGACGAAAAGCATATTGTTTCTTGATGCGCGCCCCCACTGCACCATGAAACTGTTCAAGGTCTTCTGCCGCAGAGGGTGCTGCCTAGGCTTTACGGCGGGTTCGTGTCGCGGCGACTCCAGGCGTTTCCAGTCGCCAGATCGTTCCATGTTGGATGATTTTGGGCCACTGGCGGCATTCAACCTTGAGACGCTGGCGCTGGGCCGTCGCCGCGTCGACGCGACACGAACCTACATCAGGGGGAAACAAACCTACCTCGCTTTTGACCACCCTCGCTTCCAAGCGATACCAAACGATACCAAATTGCAGCCTGTACTGGTCAGGCCGCTTGACGAGGAGGCGCGTGGTATGGCTTGGTTTTGCCTGGAAGCGAAAGCGGGGTAGGTAATTCACGCTCGTACTACAGTCTGCCTGTGCTGCCTCTTCTCCTCCGACCACCATCTCCTTTAGCCTGGCGCTGATGTCCGGCGCCTCGGCCGTGGACACGATGCTGTCCTGGAGGAACGAACAACTGCCTAATGCAGGGCGCAAACAAACCTACCTCGCTTTTGACCACCCTCGCTTCCAAGAGATACCAAGCGACGCCAAACTACGGCCTGCGCTGGTCAGGCCGCTTGACGAGGAGGCGCGTGGTATGACTTGGTTTTGCCCGGAAGCGAAAGCGGGGGAGGTAACCCACGCTCTGATAATGGGGAGAACAGAAGGTACCGTACTCCCCGGACCTCTCCCAGGGTGCGTTCTGACCAGAATTTCAGGGCGAATCCAACAGTGGCGGCGAGGGCCTCCCAGGAGGCCCAAAAACGGGGAAACGAAGGGAAAGGCAGAGGTGGTATGGGTACCATTTCGTGCACCTTGTTCTATTCGGCGTTTCGACATTGGGCGGAAAGGCGGGGGGGGAGGGGGGGGGGTCTGGCCCTGCACCTCTGCTTAGTGCGACTGTTTGGAACCTTGCGTCCTATGGGGGAGGCTCCACCTGCTCGAAACAGGTGCCCCAAACAGCCCAGATCCACTGCATGGGGGGGGGGGGAGGGGGGGGTGCGAGAGCCCGCGCCGATCGGCAGAACAATGCATCAACAAACGATCACTTCCTCCTCCGAATGAGGATAAACTTGCAGAGCTCCGCCCGGATTTCTTGCCTCGGCGCGAGGGCCCCCCTGAAGGGGCCCTGGGACACACAAATAAATACACACAAATAAAAATATTCCCCATATTTTCATATATTTTCTGGGTTTTTGTCTTCACGCCCAATTCCCATATTTCCTATCTTTTCTTGGGACTCGACGATGTTTTTTTTTTTTTTTTCCTCCTGACCCCCTCCCTGGCCAGCGGAGCGCGCCAGAGAGGGCGGCGCCGGGGCGCGCTGCCGGGAGAGACCCTGGGGCGCCTATCCAGAAGGTCCGCGCGGAGCTCCGCAAATTTATGCCGGTGCCGCTTCTGTACTTTCCGATTTGGCGGCGAGCCTCCTCCTCCTCCTCCTCCTCCTCCTCTTCCTCCTCTTCCTCCTCCTCTTCCTCCTCCTCCTCCACACATGGCGGCGGAGGAGGAGGAGGATCGAGGAGGAGGAGGAGGAGGAGGAGGAGGAGGAGGAGGAGGAGGAGGAGGAGGAGGAGGAGGAGGAGGAGGAGGAGGAGGAGGAGGTGAGAAGGAGGAGGCCTTCTCAGAAGGCGGCGGGGCTTCTCAAAGCCCCTCGCGCCTGCTGCGAAATTCGGTGCCTCCGGGGGAGGCTCGGAAGACTTCTCGGGAGGCTTGGGGACTTCCGAGCCTTCTGAGAAGGCCCGCCCCTTCTCATTCCCTCCGCCCCCCCCTCGCCGCCGACCGATGTCCGTGGTGAGGTCCAGGATCACCCACTGCGGGCCCGCCGTGGGCTGTCTGCCCTTCTCCTTCGGGTGGCGAGAGCTCCGCACGTCCACGGATCCTGGCCAGGTCCATCCTGGGCCTGGCCCAAAGCAGTGTGCACTCAGGTCGGGCATGTCCCCCACAGGCCGATGCCCGGGGTGGGTGGTGAGCGTTTTCTTATTCGGCGTCTCGACATTGAGCGAAGAGGGGGGGAGGGGGGGGGGTCTGGCTCTGGACCTCTGCTTCGTTCCATTGCTTGCGGCAGTGCGTCCTCTGGGGGAGGGGCTCCACCTGCTCGAATCAGGCGCCAGAAGCAGCGAAGACCTACTCCACGGGGGGGGGATGGGGGGGGTGCGAGGGCACGTGCCGATCGGCAAACCGATGAATAACAGCACGACCACGTGTGGCCTGGGCCCAAAAGCGGCGTTGACGCCCTCCTGGCCTGGTCGGGGAGAGGCACGAAAAGTACCGCTTGTGGGCCCGGACCTTTGTGGGCCCCGGAAACAGCAGGGCCGTTTTTCACCGTTTCCGAAAAAATGTCCCTTGAAAATGGAAACGGCAAAAAAACGGCGACCGGAAACGGCCAAAAAACGGCTCCAGGATTGGAACTGGAGCCGGAACCGGTAAAAAAAAGCGAAGGAAGCGGTAAACAAACGGCGTCTGAACCGGGTAAAAAAACGGCAAAACGGAGCCGAAAAAAAAACGGCCCTGTCGTTTCCAGGGCAGGCTGGGCCTGGCCAGGGGCGGTATGGCATGGCCGTGCAGTCCACCAGGGACGCTGCACGGGGAGCGGGAGGGGGCGTCCCTGGCCACCGCGGGCGGCCCGAAAACCGGAGCCCCTCCTATGGAGACGCACACAGACACATACAGACGCACACACACACAGAGACACACACACACAGAGACCCACACACACAGAGAGACACACACACAGAGACACACATACAGCCACACACAGACACACACAGACACACACACACAGACACACATACACACAGAGACACACAGACACATACACAGACACACAGAGACACACAGACACATCCACGCACAGAGACACACACAGACACACACACACACAGACACACACAGCGACACACACAGATATACAGCGACACACAGCCACACACACACAGACACACAAAGACACAAACAGACAGACACACACACACACAAACGCACACACAGAAACACACACAGAGATTCACACAAAAGCACACAGACACACACAGGCACACACACAGAGACACACACACAAAGACACACACACAGACACGCAGAGACACACACAAACATACAGAAACACACAGGAGCATACAGAGGCACACGTATACACAGACCCACAGACACACAGACGCACAGGCACAAAAGGCACACAGGCACAAACACACACACACAGACACAACCACACACACACGCAATCATACACACACGCGCGCCATACACACGGCACACACCTCACACACACGCGCCACACACACCACACTATACACACAGACGCCACACACCACACACACCACGCACATACGCCACAAATCACACACACCACGCGCACCACACGGTGACACTGACACAAACACACACTGACACACACACGCACACACACAAACATACACACACACCCACCCACCCACCCACAAACCCACCGACCTACCGACCCACCCACCCAGGCACCCAAGCACCCTGACACCCAGGCACGCTGGCACCCAGACATCCACGCACGCATGCAGGCACGCACCCACGCACGCATGCACGCAAACACGCACGCACGCAAACACCCACGCACCCACGCACACGCACGTACGCACCCTCGCACTTACGCACTGACGCACCTGCGCACCCACGCGCCCGCACACCCACGCACCCACGCACCCCCGCACCTCCGCACCCACGCACCCACGCACCCACGCACCCCCGCACCCCCGCACCCCCGCACCCCCGCACCCCCGCACCCCCGCACCCCTGCACCCCCGCACCCCCGCACCCCCGCGCACCCGCGCACCCTCGCACCCGCGCACCCGCGCACCCGCGCACCCGCGCACCTCCGCGCCCGCGCACCCGCGCACCCACGCGCATCCTCATTTCCCATGATTAAACACCCCCACGTCCCCACCTAGCCGGCCGATAGCGAGCCCGCCGTGCTAACTGCCCAAAAAACAACACGAACTCAACTTTTTCTTCGCCGACATGTCGTCGAATTGCGAAACATGCATCAGGAATTTAACGAAATGAACATCGCTCGGGTAACCCCAAGCGGGTGGTCGCGTCCTACTCATCAAAAAACAATACAGCGTCAACGTTTTCTCGTCAACATAGACTTTCTTATCGTCGACGCTGCGGCACGTGTGGCAGGAAAAAGACGCGGCGCACATCGCGCGCGGACGCTTGGCCAACCCTGCGCGGGACCTCCCGTCCTACCTGCCAAACGACAGAAAACGTCGACGTTTTTCTTGCCAACATGTACTTCTCCTCGCCGGCGCTGCGAATCGCGTTGCGTGAATGGGACGCGGCACATCGCGCGGGGGCGCCTGCTCGTCAACATGGACTTTCTTGTCGTCGACGCTGCGGCCCGTCGGGTTGAGGAGGTGGGCGGGCGGCAAGTCAGAATGCCTCTCTCAGGCAAGTGCGGTTCAAGCAAATGCCTGAGGAGACCTCCGCGAGGTCGAAGAATGCGTCCACGAGGCCCTGGGGGGGCAACAAAAATTTTGCTTTACATTTGACGTGTGAAAAAATGTGAGGTTAGCGCCCACTTGTGTTGGCAATGTTCCAACTCGGAAGATATATCCAAGAGGCCCTCAGGCGCATGCCAAAACGCTCCCAAGACGCCCCGCGAATTCCCAAGAGGCATTCTCCTCGTCCCGCTCAGTTTCTCCCTCCCTCCCTCTCGCCATCCCCTCCTCCTCCCCCCCCTCCTCCTCCTCCTCCTCCTCCTCCTCCTCTTCTTCTTCTTCTTCTTCTTCTTCTTCTTCTTCTTTTT